GAGCAGCAGGGAAAACCAAAACCTTCCTTGAGCAGGGTGGGGCTGAAAGTTCTAAAATGCAGTGAAGAAGGGAAAAGCCTATCTTTTAACGATAGAGGGAAAAACAAGGGGTTGGGGGAGAAAGACAGCTGAAAAAGAGGAGGGTAAGTCAAGCCATAAAAAGTGGAAGGGTAAAATACATGACTTTGGGCTTTAAAAGAAGCAGGAGTGCTATGGCTGGTGGCCACTGGGCAGAATGGGCGAGGTAGCTTTGAAGTCTGAGGTAGCTTAAGTCTGCAGAATCATTCAGTTCCATCAGAGGGAGGGTTCCATTAGGGATAAGGAAAGAGGAAGCTTTATTTTCTCCATGTATTTGACTCTGAGGACCTTATGTGGGGGACAGGCCTACAACAGAGCATAATTTAGGGGTTCCTGGGTTCCCTGGGGAAACACCATCACAATAACAAGTTGACTGCATCCCATGCAGCTCTCAAAATCTGCAATCTGGTGTCTTCTTAATATGATTTCAATTTACTTGAGACATTCTGTTCTCTAAGCTTTATTGGAGGGCAAGTAAATCTATTCACTATATCACCTTTGCCTTGTTTTACCCTCCACATGTTTTTGTAGCTCATTAGTATTATCTTACAACCAGCATGGCAAGAGAAGGCAATCCTTTCGTTTCTCAAAAATAATTATTACCTACATTAAAAATGAAAACAAAAGCAAAAATCAAAGGTCAGAAGTTTTTAGACACTAACATCTCCTTAAAATTTCCCAAGTAATCATGAACTCGTTTGCACCCCCTCTAAATTCGTAGAATTAGATTTACACCCCCCCACCAAAAAAAAAAAAACCACAAAAAAACCACAGCAGGACCTTTGGTGACAAATTATTAATGCTGCCCATCATTTAATGTGGGAGGTGGTGCTGGTGAAACTGTTGCACAGAGTAGGGCAACTTGTCTGAGTAAGAGTTAACCATTTTAATTTTTTATTGCTTTTCTCTGATTATAAACATAAATGCTCATTGTAGAAAAAATCAGATCTTTCAGAAATATGCAATGAAGAAAGTGAAAGCAATCCCTAAGAGTGAATCACTCCAGCTTTTCCCTCCAACATTTATTTTAAACAAAATAAAACTGCAGTTGTTTTTTAAACAGGATTATACGATGTTTAATCCAGCAACTTGCTTTTCTTGATTACAATTTTACTTGTTCTACTGAATAATCAGAGATCCATCACATCACTTTAAAAGGTTGCATATTTTTCTGTAGAAAAGATGTTTTTACAATTATTTTACTTTGGTGAACATTCTTGCTCACATATCCTTGTACACATGTGAAAGCATTTTTGAATATAAAATCCTAGATATGGATTTGCTGGGACAACATGTCCAGGTATTAACATTTTCATTAGACTGTTCTTAAATTTTAAATCTTTAAAATTGGTCAGTGGCTTGAAATAGCAAATGACTTTGTTGCAAAGTCTCTCAAACAACAGTCACCAAGTCTAGTTTTCTTTAATTCCCTTTTCAGGAGTCACTGAGATAAGAGTTTGTTGTCACAGGCTCACATTCAATCTCAGTTTGTCAGTGTTACAATTCTAAAGCATGCCAAAAATATTTTTGGGGAGTGAGCTTTTGGATTTTTTTTCAGATGACATTAGCTTCAGGTATGTTTTTGAAGTTTTGAGTAGGCTTTAGAAAGATAAAATCAGACTAATCTACTACTCAATTCTCCCTTCTTTTAGCTGCTGCAGAGAACATGATGTTGCTCTTGGGACAACCACCTGGGTTACTAGCTGGAGGAGGCCACGTCTGACAATTCTCATCTATTTAGGGTATGGGTACTATTTCTAGCAGTTTTCAGTATTTGTCACATTAAACCTAAGCCACTAACTCTGACTACACTTCCATTTTAAGAAGACAGACTTTCAAGAGCAAAAATACTTGTAATAGGAACCTCCTGGACCACCCACTCTAAAATGATTTTTGCTTCCTCTGGACTCACAGATTTAAAAATGTTTGTGCTATTCATTAACTTGTCAATTTTCTTTTGGACGTCAAAAAAAGATACAAAAGTTAAACTGTTTAAGTGTTTATATAAATCAAATGACTGACTATATTATCCCCACTGTATTATAACCTTCATGAGAGGAGGTACTTGGTTTAGTTCACTGATGTTTCTCAGTATCTAGAACAGTACCTAGCCTATAAAAGGTGTTCAATACATATTTGTTGAATGAATAATAAATTCTTGGAAGGCAGGAATCTTCTTATATTTTGCATCCCCATAGTAAATGCCAAATTGCTGATAAAAATTAAGGAAAGACTCTTCATCCAGGAACACAACTTAAGAATTTTTTAAGAAGCTAAGTGTGTAATATCCCTGGCCTAAATAAAATTCAAGATTCTTCCCGCCCTTAACTTTTATGAAGTACTAGTTTTTTAAAAAAAGAATCCAAATATATATACATATATACATAAAACTAAAGTAAGAATTGGATCTTTGATTTAGAAAGCAGTGCACTGATTTTTTTAAACCTTCAATCATCATTATAAAGATCAGACTTGACCTCAAGCTGCATTCTATAAAGTCCCTTGTTAAAAACAAAACAAAACAGAACCCAAACAAAAACATGGCATCAAGTCGTTAACTGGAAATGCTTTTGTAAGCCTTAAAAAAGCTTTTAATGTTACTGTGTAAGCAAGAAGGCAAAGGAAATATTTGTGTACATTTTATATTCTACACTTTGCCAATGGTGGTATGCCTTCAAATCCATGTCATATGTGCAATTATTTGGATTTAAAGCCAATAAAAATAAAAGCAGTAAAAAATGTACAAAAAAGGGAATCTGAGTGAAAGAAGTATCCATCTAAACCTAGTGCATATTTTGGATAAAATACAACATTTGGGGGAATAAAGGCAGAAAGTGAGATAAAAAATGTACAAGAATAAGTTTTAGAAATTTACTCCAGAAAATAGTCCATCTTATAAAGCACATTTTAATTCTAGTCTTTTAGTACTTATTTATGTCAGACCACCTCTTAGTGGATGTTTGGTTTCCTGTGTCGAGATTGAGAAAAATTACTTTGCGGTTAGAAAATAGCATATTCTCAAGACAGTTGACTGAAAAAACCTTTTTTAGCTTACTATTTTTTACAACAAATTTTACTTTATAAAGAGAGTAAATTAATCAGATTTGAGATTAACTCTCACTGGTAGAACTGTAGTGAATATATTCAATTTGCTTAAAAAAGAAAATGGATCATCCCTGGAAAGAATTTTATATACAAGCAACTCACAGAAATAGGGCCTAAAATAAAGGAGAGTTTTTGATCTGTAAAAAAAAAAAAAAGGAGAAAGAAAAAAATTTAAGAATATTTGGTTGGGGAGGGAAAGATTTCATAAAACAGAGTAGTTAAAGTGCCCAAGTTACAGTAGAGAGCAAAGTCTGAAGAATGTCAACAACAGACGCATTCTTGGGGAAAACTAACGTCAGGACCACTCCTACGGTTCATTTCCTAAAACAAAACGGTAGACAAGTATTCAACTTGCTGAGGCTTACAATGTTAGAGTATAGTGCACTTGTAATACCAGACCATTGAGAAAAATAATTACTCAAAAAAATTTTTAAGAAGACATATTATGGGAAAGACTATAAAATAAAAATTAGAACATTCTTACTTAAGGTAGATTAAAATAAAAAATGAAGTAGGAATAGGGTAAGAAGATATTCCTGGTCCCAATCCCTCATGTCAGGAAGATAAGAATAGTTAGGATCATACATCTTAAAGCGAATGGAAAAGAGTCATTCCTAAAAACTACAAAAAAAAAATAAATTTCAAAAATTAAGAAATTCCAATTCCATGTGTAAAATTCCCTAAAAAAAGGTTTAACTTAAAATTTAATATTGGCAGGCTCTCACGTGGGAATATTAATATTATGCCTGAAATATCTATACATTTTAGATTTAAAAAATCAAAATATGTATTACTTCTGTTTTAAAAGGTGCTTTTGAAGCTATTAAAAAAAAACCCATTCTCTGCCTAGTTTATTTAAGGGCTCATGGGAAAAAAAAACACCTGATGAAATATTCATTATCTACACCAAAGCAAATACATACAAAGTTCTAAATGCCATTTTATAGGAATACCCTCTAGTCTAGTGCAAGGTGCATGAACCTCTCTCTCCGTGACAGGCGTAAGCTCCGCCGGGAATCAGAAACGTGTTGCGTGGAGGCCCCGTTCAAGTCCTGCATTTCCTGGGCACAGTGAGTCCTTCCAAAGCCCCCTCAGCAGCTCAGGTAACACAAAAACAGGCCGGCGGCCGCGGGACCACAGCGAGAACACCAGCCCCGGCCTTATTGTTGTGGAGCAGATGTCACGATGGGTGGGGCTGACGCGCAGAGCAGCCGAAACATTTTGGTACCACCCCCTGCACTTTCCATGGAAGAGTAAGGCTCCCAAAAGGTAAGGGCGACGCTCGTGAGGGTCAGTTTCTACTAGAAATAAGGAAGTTACGATAGGACCGTGGCACACGTGAAGGCCACAAGGAGATTATTAAAAAATCCCCCAGGATTAAGTTCTACCCAGGGAAAGAGACCGGCCCTTTTCCCCCTCCCCTGCCGGCTCCTCCTTGGGACACTTGGATGAGTCTTTCTTTCCCTCCTTCCCACGCTGAGGTGAGGCGGCACGCAAGCCCGGGACGCCTGTTTTTCTCTTCGCGCGGAGAGAACTCGACGGGTAGGAACCCTCGGTCGCAGGGAGGGAGAGCGCGGCGTGGTGCGGAGGCAGAGAAAGCTCGCCTGGGCCAAGCCGGGCGGGGATTGGGAAGGGACCGGCGGGCCGCCGGGCCGACTGAGGAGGCCGAGGTGACGAGGGAAATCTGCCGGCTGGGAGCCGGGACCGGGCGCTTCCGGCGGGCCCCAGCCACTCTCGGCCCAGCGCGGCTGGCGTTCCGGGCTCCCCCGGGGCGGACAGGTAGTTAGTCGAGAGGGTAAACCGCGGTTCGCACTTGCCTGGGAGCGGGTGATCAACATCTGGTAGTGGTCTTTGCTCGGCGCTTTGCCTTGTCCTACAATTTCGAACAGAATCTCCGGCAGCCACGACGCCATCTTGGGACGCCACCGTCGTCGCTAAGACAACCAGGAAGAGGCGGGGCTTGGTTGGGGTCATGAGGCCAAAGCCCTACTTTAAATCGAACTCTTCTTTTTTTGAGCTGGCAGGGGGTTTTTAACTTGAGGTGATGGTCCCTTTTTCCAGGGTCTCAAGGCACTCTGACCGGTGAACTTTCCACCTCAGGCCTCCGGTGACCCGAAAGGGAATTAGTTCCTGCTACCACGGAGGGGCGGGGGTGACCCCGGCGGAGGGATATCGAGTGAAGCTTCACATTTCCCTTCCTGGTCCCTCGAAGGGATCGGGAGGAGGTCGCAGGCCGCCGGGAAGTTGATCCAGGCGTTAGGGTAGGGAGGGGCGATGTGATGGGCCGCGAGTAGGGAGCGGGGCCGGGCCCGCGGACCAGCCCGTCAGCGCAGGCGGAGGGCAAAGTAGTTCCC